TAGGGGTTGTTGGTCCTGATGGATGTGGGGCTTCTGCTCCCAGGGAAGAGGTTGGTGGAGCAGGCTGTGTGTGTGCTGTCCCCAAGGGCAAGAAGGTGACACTGTGAACCTTGCTGACCACGTGGTTGTGCTTGTCCCTGAGGACAATGGTTATGACAGCACTGACCTCAGGCACGGGCTTCAGTACAGGCCGGCTCAGCACTGCCATTGGTGCAGCAGCTGCGGGGGCACCCGTCACGCATGGCAGGACTGTCCAGGCCGCCTCCCCGTGGCTCTGCCACATCCAGGGCCTTCTCCCCTGCGCTGCCATCCTCTGGCTGCAGGGGGAGTCTGTGCCCCAGCTGTGGGTCTTGTCGGGTATACGTGGTCCCACACAGGAGCAGGCAGCGGGGTCACCAGTGGGGGCTTGAGCAGTGTAGACTGAGTGAACAAGGTGCACAGCAGCCCATGTGCCGCTGTGGTGTGAGCTAGGGGTGTGCGTGGCCTGAGGGCCAGACCCTGCTGCCACCTGTTCTTTCCCTGAAGCTTTCCTGGGACACAGCAGCACTCGCTCGCTGACACAGCTTGTCCGGCTGCCTCCCAGGCGCTGCGGCAGCACTGAGAGGTCGCAGCAGAGACTACAGGGCTTGCGGAGCTCAAAATCACTGCTCTTTATGGAAAAGCTGGCTGCTCCCGGTGTTAGGGGCAAAGAAGACATGTGTATACTTATGTGCTCACCTGCATAAAATATCTCTGGGAGAACATCTACGAGGACAGTCCCATCAGTTCCTTCCAAAGGGTGTGGTCGGGTAAAAGGATGGCGTCCCAGCTTCCCTCTTATACTTTTACATTTTAGACCACGGGAATGGATTTAATACCTTTTTTAAAAAAATGTGGGGATGGGGGATGAACTTAGATTTTTAGGAGACTACTGCTTCGCTTCCCAGGGCGCTGCTGGGCAGCCACCACCACGGAGGGGCTCCTCATCTACTCCCTGGACGCCCAGATGCTCTTCGACCCCTTCGAGCTGGACACCAGCATCACCCCTGGGCGAGTGCGCGAGGCGCTGCGCCAGCGGGAGTTCACCAGGGCCATCCTCATGGCCTTCCGCCTCAGCGAGGACAAGCTGGTGCAGGAGGCCCTGGAGTCAGTGCCCAGGGGAGAGAGTGAGCGTCGGGGCCTGCGGGGTCCAGGGTCACCGGTCGGGCTTCTGGGGTTCTTTGCAAAGGCAGAAGGGCACAAGATGTCACCCGCACCTCTTCTCCTAATTTGCATTCTTTGCAGAGTAAGCATGGGTTTTTTTCCCCACTTCTTACAGTTGAAGTCGTCAGTTCCTCCCTTCCTGAATTGTACGTAGAGAAGGTGCTTGAATTCTTAGCTTCCTCCTTCGAAGTGTCTCACCACCTGGAATTCTACCTTACATGGACTCAGAAGTTGCTCATGTTGCACGGACAGAAGCTGAAGTCCAGGTAGGCCAATGTCCATCTGATGCTCGTCACTGGAGCAGCTGGTCTTGGAGGTAGAGGAGGAAACTTCACATGTAGGTACATCGGGAAATGAGCCACATGTAACATTCCGGTCTCCCTTCCAGAGCGGGGCAGCTGCTGCCCGTGGTGCAGTTCCTGCAGAAGAGCATCCAGCAGCACCTGGACAACCTCTCCAAACTGTACGTGCTGCGGCCTGGTCGTGGGCAGGGTGTGGACCGCACCGTTTTCTGCTGGTTCCATACAGGGGATGCTGCGCCCTGAGTTGTCTGATTTGGGAACAGAAAGTTCTAGTGCTGAGGTGCTTGTTCTCTCACCTGCCATGCTGGAGTGAATCCACCTGGCCACCATAGGTTGGCCAGCTTTGGATGCAGCCTGGTGCTGAGGGGTGAGAAACGAGGACAGGCAGCAGTAGATGAGATGAGCCGGAGGTGGGACACGCCATAGGTGTAGCTAGAATCCTCCAGCCTCTCAGGAGGGATCTGTCACGTTCTGAGGACGAGGCAATCCTTCCTAGATTTGCATGTCACCTACATGGGCAATGGGGGACAGCAAGGGGGTCTTGGGCCAGGTAACCTGGATTTGTGGGGGTGTGGCTGCCCCGAGCCTCAGGTTCCCCAGCAGGAAGATGAGGGCGAGAAAGAAAACAGACTCTATCTAAGGGCCTAGGACAGTGCTGCTTGCCCCAGCTGCTCCGCAAGGTGCCCCCTTCTCCAGTCCTTTCTCTGCGCTTGCTGTCCTTGGCACATCTCCCTCCCTTAAGGTCCAGCAGACTGTAAAAGCCTTATAGTGGCCTTTCAAAGATGTCTTCCCTCCATCACCAATCACTTGCCAGGTGTCCCAGCGTCCCTGCTGACAGGTCTGTTCCCTGCTTGGTATGTTGTTCACCCAGCGTCCATGGGGGGCTGAGGCCTGAGACTGTCTGTCTTTGCATTGGTCCCTTGGTCTTTATAACGAGTCCGAGTATGAAGTGCGCTGTTCCTCCTCGCACCTTTTCTTCCCACGTTTTCTGGCTGTAGGAGGCTGGGGCGGCAGAGGTGGTCATACTGATCTGTGACCTGCTGCCACCAAGCCTTGTCGGCTGAGATGTCCTGGACTCTCCAGCTCCCGTTACATTTATTCCTTGCTACCTGAACTTTTCTAGAGTTAATGTGAATGTATCGCCCTTTGGACTTCTTGGTGTTGCAGATGCGTAGGGAAGCAGGGCAGTTGCATGCTACTTGGGAGGCGGAGTCGCACGGGCAGCCCCACCACCTGCAGACACAGCGCAACGCTCTCGCGCCCTTCTAGTCCTTGTACTGTAGCTGCACTTCTTCAGTGGGTGGCTGTCCGTGTAAAATGGTGGTGTGTCTTCTCTCCTTTATTCTGTCAACGTGGGGCCTTGTTCCAAGAGCGCCCCTCTGCTCTCTAAAACAACCCTGACGCTCCGCAGAGGTCTCCCCTTAAGTGTTTGGTGAAACTTGCTGGTGAAGCCCTCTGGGTTGGCCCGGCGGAGAGGCCGGGGTGGGAGGATTGATCAGAGGGATGGGGTTTTACATTTAGGTCCTTGAAGGTTGTTGCTACTCCAGGGCCAGGTGGGCCAGGAAGGGAGGCAGCAGCAATCAGCTGGGGCAGTGGGAGGCGTGCGCAGTCCCTGCTGGACTTTCTTGGGGTCACATAGAAGGCAGTTGGGTATGGGGTGGGCTGGGTTTCTTGGTTTCGAAGGTAGTCGTTGCTTGTACTGACCTGATCCCTGTGTGTTATTAACAGCTGTGACTGGAACCGCTACAACATTCAGTATGCTCTGGCGGTTTCCAAGCAACGGGGCATGAAGCGCTCCTTGGAACTGCCAGGAAGTGAGGAAGAAGCAGAAGTGTCTGAGGATGACAGTCTATATCTGCTCGGAGCAGGAGACGGGGACACACATGAAGAAGGGATGCTGGGGTAGAGCCAGCCACGGCGGGTTATTTCAGTAAAGCCCTGCGTATGAGATGGAACCACTGTGCCACTTAGGCCAGGAAATGGGAGGAGGTCCAGAGAACAGCTGACACATCCTCGCTGGTGACAATGCTTTTCCTGTAAGAAGCAAACAGGCAGCCCATCGGACAGAGAGCTGATGGCTGCTGCCTGGGGCGCAGGAGCTGGGCCAAGTGAATAGCGACTGACGTTGCGCCGCGCCATCTGCTGTTGAAAACGGCTCTTGGTAAATGGGTTCACGTAAACGGTGTAATAAGAGTTATTTATATTTTTAATAAAAAGTTTTGATGAACTTAGGAATTAAAAAAGGCCTTTCTAAAATGTTAGGGAGAAAGCTAAACTCTGAATTAAAAATGCTTATGTATCTGGGTGTCACACAAGGGACTGGGACCTGCCTACTCTCCCACCAGTGCTTCCGTCCGGGGGATAGGCGAGCAGGCAGGGTGGTCCTGGGGTGCGGTGGGGGCCCTGCCTTCTTAACCTGTGTGTATTCTCGGGGTGGCGACGGGGAACACCTGCCCTCTCTCACCTCTGGTGGGGAGGCTGGGGCCGCCTGTCCTGGTGCCCTCAGACCTGCTGTGCCCACTCGGTGGGGGCCACGCAGAGGACTGGACAGCCCCTTCTCCCTGCGGTGCCCTTGGAAGGGTGCCTGGTCCCCACAGCTCCATGACGGCCTCGAGTCAGGACTGGGCAGACCCGTGCAGGGCTTCACTGACACCACGTGCGAGTGTTGTCTGCCAGGCCAGCCTGGTGCGGACCACACGTCCCTGTGCGGCACCAACTCTCCCTTGCTCATTCGGCAGTGGAGCTGGTACCTGCCCGCCTGCCTCCCTCCCAGGCTGGTGGGAGGCCAAGTGGGTCAGGGCGGGGTGGTGCGTGGGACACCTGGTGTACCGTCAGCACTGGCATCGGACGTGTGTGTACCCTGTAACCTGTGAGTCCTCCGGTCACCTGTGCATGTGCTCGAGGCCTGCAGACCGGAGGTATTTGTAGAAAGGAAGAGCTCAGGCCCCTGGTACCACCGGGTGTTTGTTCCTATACAATGTCCCCTGTGTATCTTAGCCTGGAAAACAGAATCTGAGCTATTACCTGTCCCAAACAAAGTGCACTGCTGCCCCTCCTCACCTCAGCCTTTTGATAAGTGTCACACCTGCACAGAGACGGACAGCTGAGTGGGCGCCCGTGGGGTGACAGAGGAGGAGGAGCGGGGCCCCTCGGTAGTCACATGACCGGGAAAGGCCCTCGGCCTGGCGGCTGCCTTCCCGGACGCGGACTGGGCGGGCGTGTGGCCGCCAGCTCCCGGAGACGGGGCGGACCAGCTCCGGAAACGGCCGCCGGGAGGACCGGGGCAGGAACCCCGGGCGGGGCGGGCGCCGCTGTCTCGTTACGGGGACGGCATCTCGTCACGGGCGGCGATAAAGAGCGGCGGCATCACCTCGAGGGCGGTACCACATCAAGGGGCCGCATTACGTCAAGGGTGGTAGTATCACGTCACAGGGCGGCATTACACCAAGGGCGGTGGCATGACGACAAGCGTGGCCACGCGGAGGCGTCGTGTCCAGAGCCGCGGTTCAGCGCGGGGCACCGGGCCGCCTCCACGGCGGGGATGCGCCGGGGCCCACCGCAGCGACCAGGCGCGGCGCGCAGGGACTCCCCGGCCGCGGGTCTGCAGCTGGACGCCGGCCCACGCGGGCCAGGGTCGTACAGACGGGCGGGGCCCGGCGCTCTGATGGCCACTGCGCAGCCGCGGCCCAGCCCACCGACGCGCCCGCGGGGATTGGGGCTGATCCTGTCTGATGGCAACTGCGCAGGCGTGGCCCCGCCCACCGGCTCGCCGGCGAGGGGTTGGGCGTGTCCCAGGGCCCCATTGGCTACTGCGCAGGCGGGCAGTGCGCAGGCTCGGTGGCGGAGGCCTGACCCTGTGACCCCCGCTGTCCTCACCGCTATGGCGGCAGCCAGGGCCTTGGGGTTGTCGAGACTGGCCGCGGCCTCCGCGCCGCTCTCCGGCCGCCTCCGGCCGCATCCCCCCAGGGGTCGGACGCCCTTGCCGCGCGCCGCCCTTCACGGCTCCGCGCCGCGACCCGCAGCCAGGGTCGCACTGGTGAGTGTGCGGCGGGCCGCCTCCTGCCGCCCGAGGTCGGCCCTCTCCGTCTCGCGGGTCAGTTCCCGCCGCCCGAGGTCGGCCCTCTTCCTCTCCCGGGTCAGTTCCCGCCGCCCGAGGTCGGTCCCACCTCCCTAAGTCAGTTCCCGCCGCCCGAGGTCGGTCCCACCTCCCTAAGTCAGTTCCCGCCGCCCGAGGTCGGCCCTCTTCCTCTGTCCGGTCAGTTCCGGCCGCCCGAGGTCGGTCCCACCTCAGTTCCCGCCCCCCGAGGTCGGCCCTCATCTTCTCCCTAAGTCAGTTCCGACCGCCCGAGGTCAGTTCCCCGCACGTCAGCTCCCGCTTCTCTCCAGGTGCTGTCTGGATGCGGCGTCTACGACGGGACCGAAATCCACGAGGCCTCGGCGTAAGTCCTCAGGGTCAGCTGGTCCTCCGCGCCAGCTCGGGAAGGGCTCTCTCCCCTCCCCGTGCAGTTTGCCTTTCCTTGAACCGGTTAGAGAAAGCACGCATTTTAAATATCCTATTGCTGCCTAAAAAGGCAACAACGAGTGGCAAAAACAGGGGACACTGAAAGCACTTTTAAATATCGGTTAGTGTACTCTCATCTGGAGACGATCACTCGGCGTTTCACTTGAGTGTGTTCAGTACACACACGTTTTAGAGACTTTGGGATCGCAGTTACTTGCCGCGTGTGAATGCTTCGACTGCAGAGGAACTGATTTCTTTCCATTCAGTTCTCAGCTGCAGGTTGTTAAGGTTACCTTGTGTCCTGTTCTGGGTTGCAGATAGGTTATCACTTATGAAATCGGTGAGTTACTGCTGCTCTGAGTTTTCATTTCATCACAAGTTACAGTGAGCAGAACCAGTAGGGTATCAGGCCTACTGCACATGCCAGATCACCGTGTTCCCCGTGTGGAAAAGAGTAAATGGGAGAGGAGAGGTGCAGGTAGTAGTTCAGGTGTGTCGGGCCACTGAGAGGGGACTGAAGCTAGTGGTTGTGCAGGGCGACAGCACCTGCCCAATCTGGACGTGTCTCTAGACATGGAGAGAGCCTCGGAGTGATGGGGCCAGGAGGTAGAGGGCCAGGATTTGGTTTGTGACTAGAGCTTGGGGGAAAACGGCCTGTGAGTCAGGAGACAGCCAGGGAATAGCTTGAGACCGCCCAGGTGGACCAGCAAGGCATGTGTCTGGGGTCCCTGGGTGGCTTCCTTACAGATACCAGGACCCAAGGACCAGAACCACCGTTAGGAAACGGTGACCTTAGGCAAGTCACTGTGTTTCAAGCCTCAGTTTCCTCTGTGGAAGGAGCAGTAGGAGCCCCTGTGTCTGGGTGAGAATAGCGAGCTGTCGTGAGTTGGCATTTGGGATCTAGCTGGCACAGAGTGAGCCCTCACACTGCCAGCTGCTGTCCTCAGTGGGAGCCGTCCTTTGCCCTTGGGGAGAGGGAGCTCCTCCCGCCTGCTCACGTCGTCCTGGTGTCTCCATGTCTCTCCCACCACCTGTGACAGAGGAGTTGGAGAGGCTATGAATCGAACTTACTAAGTCATGTGGAACCCCTCACATACCTCCTCCGAGCATGTCACACACGCTGCTGTTCATTCTCGGAGTTCTGTAGCCAGCGGCCCTGGGAGGTCAGACAGGCCTTGGGTGAAGGCTGAGCGCTCGGCAGCCGCCTGGGAAGGCGAATGCATCCAGGCTGTGGCCTCAGCTGAGTCACCCGGCCTGCCGTGTCCCAGCTTGCACAGGGCACTGTTGGGACCAGATGATCTCCCCAGACTACTTCTGTGAGTCCATCATAACCCACCAGGTGACAGTGAATTGGGATTGGGGGCATTTGAGTTAGCAGGCCAGCCATTCCTTTTTGAAAAGTGAATAGGGTATTTACGTGGATTAGGAATTTACTCTTGGCACTAAGCTAAAATCCTGTTTTTAAGTTTGCCTTAACACAAACCTGGAGGGAGCAGGTTTCGAAGGGTGGTCTCTGGTTTTCTCCTGTGCAGGATACTGGTACACCTGAGCCGTGGCGGGGCTGAGGTCCAGATCTTTGCTCCTGACGTCCCTCAGATGCACGTGATCGACCACACCAAGGGGCAGCCTTCTGAGAGCGAGACCAGGTGGGAGACAGGACTGGAACTTCTGCCCACCTCCCACTGCGCAGCCTTCATCGCTGGCTTGATTTTAACGGGTGCCCGAATCTGTGTGTTCAAATAAGGCCCCCAGCGGCTGTTCTGGAAGTGATGCCGCTTTGGCTCGGAATATTTCCTGCCTTCCAGTACTTTCAGAAAGAGAAAATATTGACTGCGTGACTTCCCGCTGAGCAGAGCTGCTCACTCCTTCGTTTTGGGCAAAGATGGTCTTTCTCAGATGGGTCATCCGCCTGAGTGCATGTCAGGGTGCCAAGTCTCAGCTGGTCCCAGCAGCGCTTCCGTGACTGAGGCGTGTGTGGTCCTGGCCATGTCCCGAGATCTGTTTCTCCCCCTGCCCGTCCTGCTCCCACTGCAGAGTGGCAGCCCTTCAGGGTGCTTCCCGGCGCCTTCCAGCTGGCTTCAGGCAGCGAGAGGAGCTGGGGGCTTGAGACCAGAGAAGGAAACCGCAGCTCTGTCTCCCGGGGACTGTGGTTTCCTCTGCCTGGGCGACTGGCTCCTGAAGCCTGTTACTGCTCCTTCTGTCCCCTAAGCCGAGGCTGCTAGTAGCGTCCTGCTGGGTGACCCTGGGTTGCTTCACTTACTGTGAGCAGTGGCTTCTCCACTACGCTGTGCCCCCATCCTGAGGGGCGCGCTGGGTCCTGTCTGCTTTAGAGACTTGGAGGGATTTCCTCTCCCTGGTGGCCCTGACCGGTGCAGAAGGCTGAGCCGTCCAGCATAGGTTCCGACGTGCTGCTCTAGTGGCCTTCTGTGTGGGTTGAGAATTGCTAGAACGGTTTGGTCTTTCCCAGTGCTCACCTGGAAGTGTTACGTCCCTGCCACGTGGGCACTGTCCCTGCCAGCTGAGAGCTGTGCGGAGAACATGTCCTTTGCGGGCAGCGTCCCCAGCGCTGCTCCGCAGTCCCGAGCCCACTCACTGAACCTTTCTGTCGGGCTCTGCTTTCCCAGGAACGTTCTGACCGAGTCGGCCAGGATCGCCCGGGGCAAGATCGCAGATCTGGCCACGCTCAGCGCAGCCAACCACGATGCCGCCATCTTTCCCGGAGGCTTTGGAGCTGCCAAAAACCTGTGTGTATTCAAGTTTCGGGGTCTCGTGCTGCTTTCCACGGGCAGCGCCAGCTGGGGGGGGGCTGGTGGCAGGAGCAGCCGTTGGGGTCTGGGGTCTTACTGTGTGTGTGCCTGCTCCTGACCGGGAGCCACTGTTGGGTGGCGCTCAGGTGGCATTTCAGCAAGGCAGGTGTCCTCTGCCTCCCCTCGGGGCACTCCGGGTACTGAGTGGGCTGCCAGAGTGGGCTTCCCTCTCCTCCCGCCACGCTGAGGGTCTCGTCACAGTGGAGTCGGTCTCTGGCGTTTATTCTTTGCAGATACCAGTTCTCTCGTACAACCTTGAAGCACAAAAGGTTGCTTTCCCCGTTAGAGAGCTGGAGTGGTGGTCTTGGCCTCAGTCTCGACAGGAGGAAGGGAGGCCTTCCTTGCTTTGCTGTTTGGGTTGTTTCCATAGTAACTGGACCAGGCACTGTGGGGGGCTGGCAGGCACCCCACACAGCAACGGCCTCTGGGTTTCAGATCCCCTGTTTCCTTCCCCTCTGACGTCCCAGACCCCTCCCGTCCCTGCCCTCCCAGCTTGCGCCCTCCCTGCTGCTCGGGCGCCCCGTTCTACCTTCCCCTCCGTGTGCGGCGTCCACGCAGCGGGGCGGGCAGCACCCACACCTAGATCACAGACTGAAGGGCTTCTGGCCTGTGTTTCCCTGCTGCCCGCTGAGGGCCGCGTCAGAATCTCCTGTTAGCATTGTGAAGCGGGCGTCCCCTTTACTCCCTGTCCCCTTCTGTCCCCACCAGCTCCTCCAGCCAAGTTGGGGAGGAATGAGGGCGGGCAGGCCACCTGCTTTGAGTCTGTGTGCTGACTTCGTCCCTCCTGTCCCACGTGGTCAGCTGATGAGCCGACCTTTATTCCACCTGCAACAGCACAGCAATCTCCTGGCTGGCCGCTCTTGCGCTCCGGACGTCCTGTGCAGGGTGGGGAGGGACAGAGGCGCTTCCTTCTCTGACCACCCCCTCCCTTACTCAGAAGCCTCAGGCCTGCGGGTGTCAGGGCCCCTCCTCCCGCCAAATTCTGGCTGTTTCCCAGCCCCTCTGGCAGTGCCACGCCGTGCTCCTGCCTCGAGTCCACTTCCTCTCCCGAAAGCCAGGGGCTTTGGTGCTGCCTGAGCCCCAGGCTAGCGTGGCCCTGTCCTTTTCTCCAGTGGTTCCGCCAGCCGCCAGCAGGACGGGCGGCAGTGTGTACGGCCGGAGTTTCTCTCCAGGCGGTTTCCCTGTGGAAAGGGTGAGCTGAGCGAGCTCAAATTGCTCTGCTTCACATTTGGCCGTGACCCCCTTGCCGGAGGGGAGAGGGCCGTGGGAGGCTTTGCTGGGGCTCCGTGTCCCGGCCCGCAGACCATCTGCACCTGCTACCCGAGGAGCAGGGCGTGGGGCGTGTCAGGGTGCGTGCGTGGTGTGGTGGGGCTCTGTCGCAGCACTCGGGGACCGGGGCCTTCGGACCCAAGAGGTGTGCATCTGACCTCGTGTCCTTCCTGGGCACTGCTTGCAACCCTGCCCACCCTTCCAGAGGACAAACTGGCCCCGGCTTCCGAGGACAAGTGCTGTGGCCGGGCGCCTCTGATGCGGCGGCTGCCATTCCCCGGGTCAGCGTGGCTGCACCAGCGGCAGCAATGCCGTCAGTTATGTGGGGTCTGGTTCCCTTCCTGCTCTGACCCCAAACTCTCCTGGCCACTGCTAACAGCTCTCTGTTTATTTCTAGAAGATTCTGTGTATATGGGTATGTTAAAATGTAACCAGGTAGGCCGGTCATAGTGGCGCACGCCTGTAATCCTAGCATTTTGGGAGGCCGAGGTGGGCGGATTGCTTGAGGTCACGAGTTTGAAACCAGCCTGAGCAAGAGCGAGACCCCGTCTCTACTAAAAATAGAAAGAAATTAATTGGCCAACTAAAAATATATAGAAAAAATTAACCAGGCATGGTGGCACATGCCTGTAGTCCCAGCTACTCGGGAGGCTGAGGCAGGAGGATTGCTTGAGCCCAGGAGTTTGAGGTTGCTGTGAGCTAGGCTGACGCCACGGCACTCTAGTCCAGGCAATGGACTGACATTCTGTTTCAAAAAAACAAACAAAAAAATTAACCAGGTAGCAGCATCTTACACATGTCGTTCTGTGCGTTGTGTGTTTTACTCGCCAGTGTAGTTTGCAGATGGCCAGCACAGAAGTCCCCTGTGTAGACCAACTGCGACCTGTTTAACCAGTTCCTATTGACGGCCACCCAGGGCATTTCCTGTTATCTTGTTTTCAATAGCGTTTTGGAGGTGTGACTGACGTACACCTGTTCAAAGTGCACAGTTGATCACTGTGGGTCCTGTGCACCCCTGAAGCAGTCTCCACATGGGGACGGTGACCTTCCATCACCCCAAAAGGGTCCCAGTCCTTTGCAAGCAAACACAGGACAAAAATGCTGGAATGGGGGGACAAGTAGCGCAGAGCCCAAGGAGCAGAGTTCCTGTGCACTGGTAGATCTGGGGGTGTGCTAAATTGTAGCTCTGTCCCCCACCCCTGCAGCTCCTGCCTCAGGCAGCATGGTGAGGAGGGCGTCTGTGAGCTGGCGTCTCTGTCGCTGGCGTGGGTACAGCCTCTGTGTTTGGGTCCGTTGCATTTCTTTTCCTGCAGCCTCTGCTTGCTGTCTGGCTTTCTCGCCGCCCTTGACTTAGCAGACTGGAGGGTCCACGGGGTGTGTCCCAGCGCCTTCCGTCTGCCACCCCCTTCGACATCCCTCCACTTTCTGTGCTGTTCCTGCCTAAAAACGGGAAAAAATCGGATAAGTGATTACATGGAAAGTCACACGCACAGACAGGCACCCACACACGTGTTACTCACCACAGCTGTTTAGCACTCAGTGGAGCCAGACCTCAGAGCTGGGGTGGCGGGGTAGGGGGTGCCCGGGAGAGCAGACGCCAGCGCGGCGCTGTCTGAAGAGGCCTCCTCTCTCGGCAGGAGCACGTTTGCTGTGGACGGGAAAGATTGCCGAGTTAACAGAGACGTCGAGCGTGTCCTGAAGGAGTTCCACGCAGCCAGGAAGCCCGTCGGGTAGGTACAGCCGGGCCTTGGGGAGGGGTCGCTTACAGCGGGGCGGCGGCCGGTGGAGCTCAGGGGCAGCCGCAGCCGTGAGCCCTGGGCCATGTGCTCCTGGGAACGGGAGCGCTTTCCCTGGGGGGCTCACATGCCATCACTGCTGCCTCCAGCTCCTGAAATCCCATGCTGTGGGGGAGCCTGCCTTCCTTCTGATGTCACCACTGCCCTGGGGAGACCTGTCATCCTCTCGGCTTCCAGAAGGGCCCCCGACAGTCCTTTGTTAACGCCTAGCCCTCCCCACACCCCCCCCCTCGGTCGTCTCAGCACGGCCCCGTCTGACGCATGTTCGCTCTCAGCGCCCCTCCGAGGAGCTGTACCCGACCACACCTGTGTCCCCGTGCCCCCACGTGTCTCTGCGCTGACTGCACTCTTTGCACCTTTCAGCTTGTGCTGCATTGCACCTGTCCTCGCGGCCAAAGTGCTCAGAGGCGTAGAGGTCACCGTGGGCCACGAGCAGGAGGAGGGTGGCAAGTGGCCCTACGCTGGGACCGCTGAGGCCATCAAGGCCCTGGGCGCCAAGCACTGTGTCAAGGGAGTGGCCATATCCTTTCTGGCGGCCGGGACCAGGCCGGTGGTGTGCCTGTTTGTCCCTGAGACGTGTGTTGGGGACGCTCCTCCAGGGCAGCCTTGGCAGGTGACTTCTTCACCAGGAGCTGCGCTGGCCGGTCTCACCTTGGGGGCAGCGCAGGCTCCGGCCTGAGGGAGCGGCAGGGTGCTGGGGGGAGGGGAGTGGACGTGAGGGACGCAGGCCAAGTGCGCAGGAAGTGCCGGCAAGGGCGCCCTGGCTTGGCTTTGGTGGAAGCTCCTCGGGCCAGTTGGGATGGCCCGTCCCAGCAGCCTGGCGTCCCTGCTCCGTCCCGCGGAGCGGGCCCTGTGCGCGGGGAAGGCTGGCGTGGCTGTGGCCGTGGTGCTGAGAGCCTCCATGGGGAAGGCCCGCAGGGCCTCTGGCTGCTCTCTGGATCTGCGGTCGTGTCTGCAGGACCCGGGGGAGAGCGACGGTCTGTGGCTGGTTGGCCCTTGGCTGAAATTGACCCAGCTCCCTCAGGGTTAGCTCCTAATATGGAAAGTGGAGGTGCTGCCACTGCTCGGTCCCAGGGTGGCGTGTGCCAGCCCTGGGGGGTGCGGGCGTACGTGCATCCGGAGGCAGCGCCCACTGCCCGGGGTGGAGGCTGCCTCCTGTGCGGCGCGAGACCCGGAAGGTGCGCCTGTCTCGTCTGACTGGGCAGCGCAGTGTAGGGAGGGGCCTGCCCACTCAGGTGGCCCGGGGAAGGAGTTCTGCTCCGAGTTCTGCCGAGACGCGAGTAGGAGGCGCTGCCCAGGGATCGCCGAGGGGCTGCTGCTTCCTGCCTAGATCCCCTCTGTCCTTGGCGGGTGTTGTTTTTCCGTAACTTCTGCGCACGAAGCTCACGTGGACCTGAAGAACAAGGTGGTCACAACCCCGGCCTTCATGTGCGAGACCGCCCTCCACCACATCTACGATGGCATCGGGGCCATGGTGAAGAAGGTGCTGGAACTCACTGGAAAGTAATGCAGACAGCAGGGCCCCGCTCAGGGCTGTGGGCCCAACCCCCACCCACCTGGCCTTGAGCTGGAGGCCCAATCTCCGTCCAGCTGGGAACATGGCAGGACTTCACTTTTCTACCTAAGCAGGGGGTGTGGGTACGTGGGGTGGCCTGAGACACCGTCCTTGACTCGGCTTCCCCGCGCGGAGGCCCAGGCGGCCGATGGCTTGGTCTGAGCCGCGTGACTGCCTGGCTGCGCATCTCCTGGGAATGTACGTCCGAGCTGCCTTGCCGGGACGAGAATCAGCAGAGAAACGCTGTTCTGCAGGCGTAGGGTGATGGTTCAAGTTATTCAGTTTTTGGAAGAAAAAAAATTTTAAATTTACAAGTCTAATCAGGAAACCAGAGATACCACGTTTCTAGACAAAGGTTGATTCTGTATCTGGGGTAAGCTCGTGCTCATTAAAGTGAGGGGCTCTCTGTCGCAGCCAGTCCTTTTAGCCATGGAGAACATGCTGCTTCCAGCCGGCACTTCCAGCAGCTGCGTGTTCGGCTTGGAACCGCCGGGTGCGGAGTGTAAACGGGGTTCCTAGGTTAGTTGCGGTCCCCTGGGTTCTCAGGAGGAAGGGGGCTGCCGGCGCTTAGCATCTGTAACCGACCTGCCGGATACCGACGGCAGAGGTCACAGGCCGTGGAGAAGATGTGTGGAAAGGAAAAATAAACTACATGACGTAGTGCTGGCGTTCATCTTTGTGCGTGCGGGGTGTTCATCTTTGTGTGTGCGGGGTGGGGTGTTTGGGGAGAAAACGTCTTGGATGGAAGTGGGGTGTGTATGCACACGTCACCTAATGTGGAGTGTCCTTTCCCCTTCTGGTCTGACTGCCTGAGCAGACGGGCTGGGCCAGCCCCTGGGAGGCTCCCTGCCCGGTGGCAGTGGCTGCTGCAGCGTGGGGGCTGGTCTGTGAAGACAGTGCTGTGGCCCACGTGGCCAGCTGCTGGGCTTGGTCCAGTTTGCACCTGGCTGTGTCGGGCACAGGCCCTGGTTGCGTGGGCACCTGCCACTCGAGGACAGCTGAGGAAAGGGACCTCCGTGCCCGTGTTCCTGGCTGCGCAGTAGGCGAGGGGCAGGCAGGGCTGCAGGCGGAGGCAGGAGCGGAGGCTGGTGCATGTGCGTCCCCTGGCCCTCACCTGGCCTCATGTCTCAGCCAGTCCTGGCGCCTCTGGTTCCTGCTCCACGGGAACTCGAGTCTCTGGCAGCCTGTCCCTCTCCCCCCAGAGCGGGGCCCCAGGAAGTCCTCACAGGGCGAGAGCCTGCCCCACACACCCACGCCCCCCCGCACTGCTCAGGTGCTGCTGAGGATCCTCCCTGGCTGCTGGGCTCCCTGGAAGCTGGGTTGTGTCACCTTCACGTCATACCTGTGTCTCCTTGCAACGTTGGACACGCCACCTCTGGAAGAGCCACGGAGGTGCCTGCTGAGCAGGGGACAGGGCGTGGCGGGAGCTTCATTGTGCGCCAGGGAGGTCTGCACAGGGGCAGGTGGGGCCCCAGGTGGACCCCCCACGCCTGCGCCCACTGGAGGGTCTCCCCACGTTGCTGGGGCATTCTTGGAAGCCGTGGAAGCATAAGGTGCCCAAGGAATGGGAGCCACACTCGGGAGTGACCGGCTGCTGTGTTGAACCTCCTCTCACTTGTGCTGTGCCTCTGAGCAGGTAAGCAGACAGAAGCAAGCACACCAGAAAGTCCCCAAACGTTTAGATGCTCACTGAATATTGCAGTCCCTGGCGTGAGTCACTTGTCTGTCCTTTTTCCGTGTGAAACATCTGATTGTCCAGTCCGGAGTGGCCGCCGGGCGTACTTTCCTTCCCGAATCCCGCTGCAGCGGTCAGATGCGCCCGCACTCAGGGTTTCCTGTGTCCGTCCGTGGTCCGGCCCTCTGCACTTGCTGACGGGCTCAGGCAGCCTCGGGAGGCGGGTCCTCGGTGTCCCCCCTTCGCCATTCCCCTGTCCGGAGGCCTGCAGGGCTGGGCCGGGCCTTGGGCCTGGGCAGCGGTGCTAGAGCCTGTGCTCTGGAAACGACTGGAACGTGGGGAGCTCAGGCAGGGGTCACTGCAGACCGAGATTTCAGCCCTTGGTTCCTTTGACGGCGATTTAGCGCCTGCTGCAGGCCAGCGGGCACTGCTGTAGGCGCTGGGCCACTGCCGGGTTGCTGTGGGGCCCCAGCAGGTGCTCTTGTGGACACGCTCGGAAAGGGTGGCCAGGGCAGGGGACAGGGCAAGTGTGGTGTGAGGGCAGTACAGGGCATGGGGCAGGAGGCGGCGCTGTCCCCAGGCCTTGCTGCTGTCCCCACAGCTCCTCCCCTTGGAGGCCATGCAGCCCTGGAGTGCAGCTGTGGCTCTAGGCACTGCCGCCAGGGGCGCTGCAGAGCTGTTGGGGTCAGGCCTCAGGCTCCTGGGCTGACCGAGGGTGGGCAGCCCCTGAGTCTGCCTCTCAGCACTATCAGGGGCCCGGATTGTCACCTTCAGCAGCCCTCCCTGCACCCCACTGCCCTGCCCCTTTGCTCTGTCTTCCCCTGTCCCCTGCAGTCCCCAGGGCTCCACCAGCTGCTCCAACTCTCTGCACTGGGTCCTGCTGGGCCTCCCCCCGCTCGGCCACCTGACCTGGACGCTGTCTTGGGTGCTGCTCCTTCCCCTCTGACCCCTCGCCCTCCTAGACCCCCGCCCAGTGAGGCCCCAGCCCCAGCCGCCTTCCCCACTGTGAGACCACTGCCCACAGGACACCGCGCTTGGAGTGGGCCCAGCTCAGCATGCCGAAGCGGCCCCTACGTGTGCTCCTTCCCACCTGCATCTGGGGGACCCCCGTGCACCCAGCTCCGCACTAGACACCAGTCCCAGGCACCTGTTCCTCCCTGCCTCCCCCCAGCTGTGGGTTTTTCCTGCCCCATGCCCAGGTCTCCCCCAGACCCTGGCAGGCTCCTGGGGGCCAACTCCCAGCCCCCGGCCTGGTCCTGGCACCTGGGAACACCCATCCCGCCCTTTGTATGCTGCTGGCCACCCTGGTCCCTCAGCCCTTCGTCGGTCGGCTCCGGTGCCCCTGCGGAGGGGGACTTCTCCACCCTCCTTGGCAGAGGACGGCCCTCGCCTGCTGTCGTCCCTCGTGATCTCATGGTCTTCCACCGCGTCCACGTGTGTGCCACAGACCAGCCTGGCTGCGGCCCTCCCTGGCCAGGAGCCCCAGGGGAGAAGGCGCCAGCCTCACTCTTGTGCCCAGTCTCCACGGGGCCAGGCGCGGCCCACTCGCGCCCGCCAGAGGCCGCCGGCGCCTCTCCCACCCGCTGCTGGGCCCCTCACGCTCTTCCCTTTCCTGTAAGGCTTCCCTTAATGTCACTGCTTCTGTTTGTTTTAAATTTTATTTTTAGAGCACTTGCAGGCTCACAGCAAAAGGAAGGAGGACCTAGAGTCTCCCACACACCTCTTGTCCCGGCGTGCACACGGCCTCCCCACCGCGACGTCCCCCGCACCGACACGCTGTCTCCCAGAGCGCGCCGTGCACGCGAGGGCTCGCTCTGTGTTGGGCATCTGTGGCTTTGGACAAGCAACATGTAGTGACACGTGTCTACCGTCACGGCGTCACGCAAATAGCTTCGTTGCCCTAGAAACCCCGTGTGCCCGCCTGCTCCTCCCCCTCCCGACCCTGCTGGTCCCGTCACTGCCTCCAGAGTTCTGCGTCTTCCAGAACGGCACGCAGCTGGAGCCCTGCAGCGTGTGGCCTTTTCACGCTGGCTTCTTCCACTTAGCAGCACGCCTTAGGGGCCCTCTGCGTCTTCCCACCGCGTGAGAGCTCATCTCTTTTTAGTGCCGAAAGATACCTGGTCTGGACACTCCGCGCAGCTCACTCACCCATCACCTGCCTGGCCGCGTGCAGGCTTTGGCAATGAGGGATAAAGCTGCTGTCACGTCTCCGTGCAGGTTTCCTGTGGGCGTAAGTTTCCCCTCCTTTGGGCAGATACTAGGGAGCAGGATTGCTGCACCCCATGCACGAGCACGCTTAGTTGTGAGCAGCTGCCAAGCTGCCTTGCAGAGTAGCCGCCCCCTCCGCGTCCCGCCAGCGGGGACGGTTCCTGCCGCCCCACGTCCTGGCCAGCGTCCGGTGCCGTCTGTGAGTGTGTGCGCTGTCTCGTTTCACGGGCAGCTCCCTGGTGTGTGACGGTGACCGTCTGCTCATGTGCTCACCCGCCATCTGCTTAGCTTCCTCCGTGAGGTTCTGTTCAGGGTTTTTGTCCACCTTAAAATCTGTTCTTAGGCCGGGCACAGTGGCTCACGCCTGTGATCCCAGCACTCTGGGAGGCTGAGGCAGGAGGATCGCTTGAGGCCTCAGAAGTTTAAGATCAGCCTGGGTAACGCAGGAGATCCTGTCTCTACAAAATAAAATTTAAAAAAGTTAGCCGGGCATGGCAGCATGTGCCTGTAGTCCCAGCTACTCAGGAGACTGAGGCAGAAGGATCGTGTGAGCCCAGGAGTTCAAGGCTTCGTTCAGTGAGCTGCGACTGGGCCACTGTACTACAGCCCAGGTGAATCCTCCTGCCTCCACATCCCAAAGCACTGGGATTACAGGTGTGAGCCACTGCGCCCAGCATTTTGACTTCATGTTTCGAAGGGTGTAAGGTGTGCATCTAGATTCATTCTTTTGGCCTGAAATGAAGATAGCTCCTCCAGCTTTCTTTTGATTAGTGTTAATGTGGTAAGTCTTTCTCTATCCATTTACTTTTAATCTACCAAAGTTCTTATGTTTAAAGTGGGTTTCTTGTAGACAGCATGTAGGTGGGTCTTGGTTTTTGATCCACTCTGACAATCCCTGTCCCTTAATTGGTGCATTTAGGCCATTGTTCAGTGGTTATTGATAGAACTGGGCCTGTGTGTATCTTCTACTTTGTCTGCCTTTGGGGTTTAACTGCACATTTTATATGATTTTATTTTCTCTCCTGTCTTAGCATATCAATTACACTACTATTTTTTTTTTAACTTTTTCCATGGTTGCCCTACAGTTTGTGATATATAATACATTTACAACCTACTCAAATGCACTTTCAGGTAACATCGTATGGCTAACAGGTAGTATGAGTTTCTTAGTAACGACACATTCCTGCCCCCTCCTCCTGTCCCCATGTCATTGCTGTCATCTGTTCCACTCGTATGCCAGCATGCGTAATCAAATGTGTTGTTGCTGTTGCAATCTTGAACAAACTTCTGCAGATCAGTTCAGAATGAGGAAAGTAAAAGCTTTTTTTTTTTTTGAGACAGAGTCTTATTCTATTGCCCGGGCTAGAGTGCCATGGCGTCAGCCTAGCTCACAGCAACCTCAGACTCCTGGGCTCAAGTGATCCTCCTGCCTCATCCTCCCAGGTAGCTGGGACTACAGGTGTGCGCCACCATGCCCGGCTAATTTTTTCTATATTTTTAGTTGGCCAATTAATTTGTTTCCATTTTTATTAGAGACAGAGTCTCACTCTTGCTCAGGCTGGTTTCAAACTCCTGACCTTGAGCAATCCCGCCTGGGCCTCCCAGAGTGCTAGGATCGCAGGCGTGAGCCACCGCGCCCTGCTGGAAGGTAAAAGCTTTGATTTCACCTCTACTTGCTCCCTCTCTGGGGCTCTTCCCTCTCCGTGTGGGTCCGAGGTTCCGACCTGACCATCTTCCTTCCTCCCTGAAGAGCTGCTTTTAACATCTTTCGCAAGACA